GATGGAGTATGATTTTATTGTACAAAAAGGCATGTTTATGAGGGCTGTTAGTAGAGACTGACCTTAGAGCGTGCCCTGCGGTCAGAGTAGCAGGCCCACAGCAGAGTGACCAGGTAGAGACCGAAGAAGGTGCACAGCAGAGCCAGCACCACAAAGTTCTCAGACAAGGTGGAAAACAACTCTGTGGTGCGAGATAAGTCCACGAAGTTTGGCATCACAAAGAAGGTGCTCCCAAAGAGAGTGAGGTGGTTACACAGACACTGTGTTTGCTCTGGAGTGCTTTTGTTCCCCACCTGAGACGAAGAGAGCACATCACTGTCTGATATGCAACTACTGGTGCTATACGAGAACATTGCTTAACATGCATAACCAAAAGCAATACAAACCAGTACATCACTCTTTATAATGGTTGAAATTTACCTGGCAGCCATACATGCTCCATGTCTCATTCTTTACGTCCCAGTACACACACTTGGCCGTAAAAGAGTTTATCCTTAGTGTCAGACCTGGTTCCCAGGAGGAATTCAAGAGTCTGGATTCAATATACCAGACTCCACGAGTATGCTGCAACATCTCTGGGGTTATCATCCAGCGATAGCCTTCTGTTCCAAAAACCAACCAACATTACGTCATGACAAGAACCAATTGGTAGAAAACAATGAAATACTGATACATAAAAGTGGAAGCACATGCACATCAGGCAAACAATGGTAAAAGGGAGTCTGTTGATGTTTGGTGTTGGTATTATACTCACCTGGACCAGAGTGGTGCTATTGCTACAGAGTGCTACAGATCTTAAAACTTGATGTGTTAAAATGATTGAAAAACAGAGACTAGGGCATGCAGCAGTGACAGTTACCTGTGAGGCTCAAGATGGTTGTCTTACTGAAGTATCTGTCGTTTGGAGGTGACCCCTCAGCCAACCTAAGAACTAAGGTAACATTGGCATTGGGCTCCACAGTTAAGCAGATGGTCACATCAGGGTCTGAGACGTTGATTGTGGTAAGTGCGTTTGTGTTATTTTCCAAAACAATTGTACTGTTCGTTGGTATTGAAGCATTTGGTAAAGGTAAAAAGATCTGAGGAAACCATAAAAAACAAATTAGTTCTTAATTAGTTTTCCTATTTAGAATCAAAACAATATCTAGGACAAAAATACATTGTGAGAGCACTGTGGAAAAGTGAGTGTCATTTTCTTCTGGACTGTATGTTATGTGAATTGGTGTTCTTAAGTCTTTGAAAACCCATGTGTGCATATTATTGTTTATTTTAAAGATGAAAAAAACATTTTCTTCTTAAGAGTAGTATATTCATCACTCTTTCTCCCCATGTTCATGTGATGTACATGTCAATCTTATTTCTGCTGTAATCAAGAATTTCACTGACAGGCTCTGTGAAATGTAATTGTCTGCTTGTGATTCACAACATTGTGCAAACATGACCTTTGCTTGCAACCTAAATCCAAAAACATTAGCACTGTGGTACAAATGACAAAACCCACTTTTCATGTTGGCTTTACCTCTACCATCTCTGACAGGTTTGACAGATTTATTTCTTTTTTGTTACTACTAAGGTAAAGGCTGCACACAGTTCCTGTGATTTGGACATCAGTTGGATGTGGATTCTTTGTGAATGTAGCCATCTAACAAAGAGAAGAGCTCTGATCAAAAGGCTGTATTACAAGGAAAATAAAGACACATATAATACATGATGATAACACACACAGACCTGTGTAATGATACTGTTGTATCCTCCAAGCTGACCCTTAAGCGCTGCAAATGAGGGTAGTTTGATGAACGCACCATCTTGCTCTGAACCCAACACAGCATTGCCTAGTTGGGCAGGTGTGTGACTAAAAGTAGGGGAATAAAATGTAGAAAATGTATTTAATGTGACTTTTACTATATTTATTTGTTGTCCTTTTTTACTACCTATGTAAAGCGACTTTGAGCACCTGTAAAAGCGCTTACAAAATAAATGTATTATTATTATTTAGAATATACAGTAAATTAGTTTTTACTTGCTGCCATATTGATATAGTTGTAAATTAGTGAAAAGTTGCATATGTGTTTGTCATAATTAAGCGATACTCTGAAAGAAGAGACCTACATGCTTTGATAGATGATGCCTGTTGGGTGCCTGATGATAACTTGCTCGGGGTATTTTGAAACAACCAGCTCTGAGATTTTGCGAAAGATCTGAAAGACTTTCTCAAACAAAGACTGGAGAGAAAAAATGCATCATCATCTGACTGTAAGAGACACAATAACGACAAAATGTCCATGATTGCCTAATGCAGTACTTACAGTAGGGTTTGGGTTAGTCTTGATGTCACATTTGTTCATGGAGAGAAGGAGGATGGCGGTGCTGCAATTGATTATTTTAGTAACAGTGTAATTGTCTGGCTTTATGTCGCCATCAATCAGCTTCACAGTGCCAAGCAACAAATACTTAATGAAATCGTCCTGTGAAAGTAAAAAAATACAATCAATTAAGGTGCAATGATAGCATAAAACGAAAAGGTGAAAATTGCCTCAATAATAATGCAATATTTTTGACAGGCTTTCCAAAGTGAAGGTACCCACCCTGTTTTGGTTTGTGGGCTCATCTGCTGTTCTTTCCATTCGCAGTAGTTCTTCTTCTGCTGCCTGTCTCGGAAAAACAGCACTTGTGAACTTTAAGGTACAATTAAATAACTATTAGTATTCAAAGGTTTTCATGATTCAAGGGTAAAACAGACTATGTGAAATAAGGATGCATCTCTCACCTGGAGAAGTATAGTAATGTTTGCAACAGACGACTGAAGCATGTTTGCACCAGGCGACTGAAGCCTGTCTGTTGCAGATGAATCAGCCCTTTTGGGTCCTAAAAAAAGAGTGTTGTTATGACTGTTCCATACTTTCATAGTTAATTGAAATGATGAGATACATCATGTTTCAAACTTACGAGATCTGGTTGCATGACTTGACACCATTGTGTTCTGAAAAGAGAACATGAACAAAACTCACATTTGAGAATAGAGTCTTGATTTTTATTTGGCTTCTTATTGGCTGTGAACTGTTTCTCTTACCTTTGTGTTTGAGGCAGACCACTCATCTTAAAAACAAGAATGACACTTATAAAAGACAGCCTATTGCACACTATTGAGTATAAAGTGAAATAAAAAAAATAAAACTGTAATAAAACTTCACTCAGTTGATATCTAAGAAAAGAAAGGCAAGGAAAGACAAGAAAAGAAAAAGGTAAGGAAGGACGGAGTTAAAGCAGGGATAAGGACGCTGTTTTTGCATACTGTGTGTGCAGAGAGATCCTCGTCTCTGGTTGCAGTCGGATGTTAAGATGAGCCGAAAAGGATCCAACTTTATGTAGGTACAGTTTTCCTTTGAAACTTCAGCGTTTTCTGTTTTGGAAAACAAATATGGGTACATAAACACGCACAGAGAAAAACTCTTAGCAAAGCTTAATTTAATTGGGACATTTCTATGAGAAACAATTGTGTGACACTTAACAGAGTGAAGAAAATCAGATTGGTCTGAACCTATTCACTAATTTGTAATTTATCAAAGAGTCTGTTAGATGTCAAACAAAAGTGAAATATCTCTTACACCCAGAGCGCAGTGTTAAGTCTTTAAATTGTCTGTCTTTTCTAACCAACAATCAAAAACACTTTTAATGAGATTCATGCCTGATAAATAACTCAACAAATGAATGTAAAATAAATGTAATTTTAATTAACTTTAAAAATGTTGGTCTGATTTTTATCCCAATAAATATTTGCCTTTTCAGAATACTGTCACATGATAATAAATGAGAGCTAATAAGAATGTGGGGGTTACTATTACTTGTGCAGACGGCTTTAAAGGATATGAAAAATACATAGTTAAAAAAACAGTGTGCTGCCAATATCCTGAAATATTTTGTAGAGGTTTGTGCCTTCATTTTAATATTTCAAATGAAACCGAGCCTTACATTAAGGGATCATTTATTTTGTGAATACATTTAGCTTATAGTGAGTTACATTTTAGCCACATGGCCTCTAATAATTAATAACATGTTTAACTATCAAACACTTTGCATGTAAAGCCTAGGACAGGAGATCTCAAACATACAAGAGTCTCAAGCGAAAAACACAATTAACTATTAAAGAAAAATACACCAACAAAAGAAATGCAGCGTGGGTGTACTTTACTCACTTGTGGTGGGTTCCTGGTGCTGCCCTTGGACCCCCTCCCCCAGCCACCAGGTGAAGTTGCTGATGTTTCCCTCTCTGGAGATGTTCTTCAGGAACATTTTTATCGGGCTGTTCACCACCTTTAAGAGATCCCCTCCTCGGTTTGCACAGCTGCTCCTGGCTTGGGACCAGGTTTCAGATCCCCTAACAAACTCAAAACAGACATTTCTGAATACAAATGGACACTGCACAGAGAGGTCGTTGCCTGAAAAGGCGTCAGAGTTTTCTGGTAAAAACAAACATCCAACTGAAAGACAAAAAAAGACAGATGTTTGCAGTAAGGTGCCCATAGTTATTATAATGTGCAGAGCTAAAATCACATAGTGCTGAAGGAGCTGTGGATGGATCTGAGCAAGATCACTTCCGTCTTTCACATGGAAATGAGAGAGCTTCCTCCAGAAAAACTCTGCATATGTTCTCAATATATTAGGAAAATCACTAAAGACACTCAAACAAGATGCAAAGTGAAGTTGGCATCACCAAAGGTCACACAATCTGAACTTCCCATACTGACATAGAGCTCATTTCAACTTTTGATTTGCTCCTCACATGAAACAAATTATATATGTTATATGTACTATGATCATCATTTCTTAAGAACGAAAGTCTTATTCTCACATGAAATCACCCTTACTACTAATTACCTTTATATCACAGCTTGACAAGCACCTCCACTTTAATGCATGACCAACATCTCTGCCCCGCTTTTCACACACTCCACTCATTGGTGGAAATACTGGCGGAAATATCGCGAGAGTATGTGAAGGAAGCTGATACCGCGTGTGTAACATGTTAAGAAATGCATGCCCTTTAATGCAATGACAGAAGCGCGTCCATGGCGGGACGTATGAAGGTAATTCCAGAGACGATCTAACATCGTATGTTATGAAGGACAATCAGATAATAGGAAAATTCTCCACGAAACTTGATGTGACCGTTTCTTGCTTGCTAGCTCGGTTGCTCCGCCTAAACGTAATGTTAAACCAGGAAACACTTCAAGTTAGCTTTGCTTTCTTTGCATACTGAAACACATGCTGTGGGGGTGTCTTGCCCTTTGAAAATAACGTGTAAGGTCTGTAAGTCAAGAAAACTGCATAACGACAGAGGTTTAGGGTTATGATTTTACGAGTATGCAGCTCTTACTTACTTACTGAGACTAAAGTCTTGGCCCCCTACACATTGTAGCCAACATCTAGATCTAATTACTAATAACATAGGTGAACTTTATCTATGTACATTCACTTTAGTAGCCTACTGTACTTATTATACTTAGTATAATTTTGAGACACGTTTAGCCCACCTTAATATTTGGTTGTATGCTACTTTATAAGCTATAAACTATAGACGAAATTAGCTCTGAGAGGGACGATTTTACACTTAAAGTATTTTCACTTGTGGTATATGTTAATACCTTGTACTTTAACTTAAGTAATATTTTGAAGGCAGGCATTTTAACTTGTAATTCATTTGTTACAGAGTATTTGTTTACTGTGGTAACCATGGTAAGAAGGGACTCATGACATGGAAGATTTGTAAAGAAATTCAATTAAAATGTTCAATTAAAAACACAGATTTTCTTCTTTAAAATATGAATATAAAATGGAACAGATGTGTCCTACTTGTCAAGTGTAATAATGCAATTCAGCATTCATTTGTAAACATTAAATCACACAAAATGGAACTTAGACTTTTAGAGAAACTGCTACATTTGTGTTACAATTTCCATATACAATTTAAAATCCTAAAGTGTCACATAGGTCTTTAAAGTACATTATTTTAGTAGCTTGTGTAAGTATAGCCTAGTTGACACAGCTTAATTGGAAACGATGCCAGAAGAAGCATACTGATGGTGAGTCAGTTTGTTTACAACAAAGGGTATTGTGGAAGCTGTGTCACTGCAAACATGTTTTCATTAAACTATTAGCAGCCTATTTACAGTAATTAACGTCTGAGATGAGTCCTTTGAAGGCACAGTCTTATGTTTTCATTTTTGTTGCTCTTGTCAACAGAAGCAGTTCAAGGACGCATTGAAGATCATCAGCTCGGGTAGCCTTCTGTTTGCCTCCTACCTCACTGCAGTGGGAGATGAGCGTTTCTATGGCAATCAGCTGATGCCCCTGCTGCAAAAGTGTGTGGGGGCAGAGACGGCGCATGTGTTGGCAGTGAAGATGATCGGTCTGGGGCTGGTTCCTCTGAACCGCTACCAGGACCCCGCATCATTGGTAAGCATATAACATCACTGTCTAGTCACATCACTGTCCATTGATCCTAGACATTGTGAGACTTATTTCCGTTTGTTTTTATCCATCCACAGGAAGTGAAAGTCCTGGGTTTAAAGTTCAGAAATCCAATTGGGATTGCGGCGGGCTTCGATAAGCACGGAGAGGCCGTCGATGGGTTGTACAAGGTCGGATTCGGCTTTGTTGAAGTGGGCACAATCACTCCCAAACCTCAGGAGGGGAACCCCAAACCACGTGTGTTTCGACTCACTACAGACCAGGCCATAATTAACAGGTAAGTTTCCGATATGCTAAGGGCAAAGGGGTCGCCATTCTGAGGGTATGTTCATCTGAATAATTAAAAAACAATTACATGTAGGGCTTGGCAATATGGTTGAAAAGAATGTGGCACATTGACACAATCAATTTATTCGGTGCTTTTCACATATCATTTGCATTACGCCATTGGTGGATCATGTGTAGATGCTAATTTTTTGTTGCCATCATTATTGTAGAAATTCATTCATTTAAAAAAAATTATATTTATCCACAATGTTCAGTTGATTGACACCTTAATTTGTGTAGATTCTCATAAATAATTCACTTTATTTATATAACTTTAAGGAGCCTAATTCATCTTTGTCTGTTTTAAAATCCTTAAAACTGAAAACAGGAGCAGGGTAAGGTAATGTTACTGTAAACTGTTCTTCTATACATCTTTCAGTATGCTCAGAGAGATTATGCTGCCTTCAGGTTACTGAAGGGTTCACATTGATACAGCTTTGAATAGGAGTTCATAGGTTTACCTCTTTTCCTTTTCAGATTGAATTGGCAACACTGACTTTAATGAGCTCAATGAAGCAAATCTTTATGCAACAGCTCTGCATTTGTTTTTTTCCTGTCAATTGTACATGGTAAAATGTGTAATTTATGGTAATTTGTATTTGTGAGGTATTGCATCAGACAATTCAATGAATTAAAGATTTGCTAGTGGAGCTTGACAAATCCAATCTAAATTATTCCATATTGGAAAAATATTTGGTATGTTATGGTTGTAGTATTAAGTGCACGTGATTGAATTCCTTCGAAAGGATGACCTAGTTACATATAATTTATAAAGCTGTACAATATTGACACAATATTTTCTTTGGACAGTGCCTTCACTCGTGTATATACAGTATATAGCACATGCAATGTGTATAATGCAAAGATAAATATAATATTCTCTCAGACATATTACAATACATTATTCATAGTATCATGCATATATACTGACAAATAAGAGCAGACCAGCCTGGAAGCTGCAAAAAGAGTTTGTATTTTATAACAAAACACAAAGACAATTGATTTAACTTCTTGAATGTCACTTTGTTTTCAACTAGCTCATAAGCATATTCCTTAAAAGGACCAAACACATTTCTAACCCTAAGAGGGAAATTAAATAATTGTAATAAGATGTTCACATCATTATTCGTTTAACACACACTTTGGTTATTATTATAAGTAATGAAAAATATCTCATTATTTATATTTGTAAGTTGATATTTAAACAGTTGTTATTGTATATGTGTGTGTGTTTCTCAACAGGTATGGATTCAACAGCTGTGGTTTGGCCGAAGCTCAACAGAGGCTGAAGGCCAGGGGCGACACACAGCAAGAGCAAAGTAAAGGTTAGCAGTTATTACTAAAACTTGATATAAGTCTATCTGTTATATTTTGGTGTTCATTTAGAATATTTAACAAAGGAAGCCATATACTAAATTGAGTATTTAATTAAATACACTTTTCTTTTCTATTTGAATGATATAAGCCTGTCCTTGTCTCACATTTATTCTGTCTGATCCATACCTGCTTAAAGCTCATTTAGCACATCAGCAGCCTCTGCCACAGTTGGGTCATTTGTCTGACGATGCAGCCTTTGTTTGTGTTTGTCTCAACCTTCCTGTGTGTGTTTGCATATGTGTGTGTGTCTGTGTTTATAGCTGGCTGTCCCCTGGGCATCAACCTTGGGAAGAACAAGCTGTCCCGTGACGCAGGAGCAGATTACCTGGAGGGGGTGCGGGTGCTCGGCCCGCTGGCTGACTACCTAGTGGTCAACGTCAGCAGTCCCAACACGCCGGGTCTCAGGGATCTACAGGGGAAGGAAGAGCTGCACCAACTCCTACAAACGGTGGGACTGTCCAAACATTGAATTACTTTCTGGTTTTTAACCTTGCACTGACAACAAATCTGATACAATGACATGTTATCATCTGGCCCTTTTGTTTAGCCTTTCCCCTTGAAAATTATAGAGTTTAATTCAATTTACATGTATAAGAAAGTTATCATATCAAATGGCCAGTCTTAGCCTTACTAATAAACAATTATCAACAACTAATTTATTTTATACAGTACACACAACATTAACAATATCATCATCAATGGAGTTAAACTCGTTGAGCTAGCCTTTGCCCCTCATAAAATAAGACATATCTCAACAAAAAAACAAAACAGGGATTAAATAAAGAAAATTGGATTAGCCCAGCTGGCAAACTCAAGCATTACTGTTTTTCTTTTTTCTTTTATCTGATCAGCTTATACCATGTATGATGGTTTAAACAGTAACTTAACACTTAATTAAGATATTTCTTAATTCCCCGATGGGCAAGCTACAGCGTTGGGATTAAAATGTGTTAAATGGATTCAGAACAGGATTCATATTCATTCATTCAACCCTATCGTGGTCAGGGTTTGAAAGCAATGTTTAGAATTTGTAAATGGGATGTGTTTAAGCTTACATTATGTTCAATTGTTCATAAGAAAGCTATTTTTTTTTTAAGGCTTACAGCACAGTTCACAGTGTTTCTTGTTTTCTATAGTTGCTCTTTGCCCTGTTAGCTGATATACTCACATGCTCATCGATCTGCTCAGGTGTTGAAGCAGCGCGACGCCCTGCAGGGAGAACATAAACCCCCGGTCCTGGTGAAGATCGCGCCTGACCTCACTGCCCAGGACAAACAAGACATCGCTGATGTTGTCACTGAGGTTGGACGCGTTTGAATGATTGATTGAATGTATTTGAGGATTTAAGAAAGCATATGACATACTTTAAGAATCATAGATAATAACACATTGGAGCCTTAGGCTTAATCCCACAAGTTAAGATTGAATTCAGATTGGATTGTTTATAGTTTTACCTTGGAAAGATACATTTTTATTTTGTATTCCCCAATGTTCATTTGGTTGACAACAAATATACCAGAATCAATACTTTTCAACTTTGCATGTACTTGGATAAAATAACATCCTGAATAGGTGGTTTAATAAAAATATATCTTTCTAAGATGACAGTACTGACAGTGTGAGTTACCTACAGTAAATCACATGCTCTTATGCAAACCACACACACCCTACGCCAGGGTCAGTCACCTTCTGTTTTAAATGGAAGCTGGTTTGCTGGGAAGATAAAAGTTAAATTATTAAAATATACCCATTAGTTGTAGAAAAATGGCAATACACTTTATTTGAACTGCCTCTTTCAAAGCAAAGTTACAAAGGACTTAACAAGGTGAAGAAATATTAAATAGTTCAGTCCTAGAATTTAAATAAAACAATAAGCAAATAAAGTGCAGAAAATTAATTTGAATCAATTCAGTGAAATAGTTATATTTTTTTAAAGGCTTTCAAAGCCTTTTTAAAATAATAATAATAATTTCATTTTCATTTCATTTCAAACCTTTATTTAACCAGATTGGTCCCATTGAGATCATAGATCTCTTTTTCAAGGGAGACCTGCAGCATATAGGTTCCACATGAAACATAAAACAATAAAGGACATCATACATTATATTTACAGGATACATTTACATAGTTATAGACATTTACAAGTACCCATAGTATCAATGAGCATTTCATTTAGCCTAGCTTTAAAAACATGCAGAGGAATGAGATAAATGTTTTACAAGTCCTTCAAAAGGTGTTACACATTCTGCTAACCTCAGATCCTCAGGCAAAGCTTTTTAGTGGAACATTTTAGCAACTGCTCAGCTGAAGACGCTCTAACTTGCGTTTGACTGCAACCTGGGGCATTAAACTAATATAATTTCATTTTGCCCAACAATCTTATGATAAATCATATAATCATATACTTGCTTTATTCAGCATCACTAGAACACATGTTTGCATTTACAAGCATTTGGCTGCTTTCTGCCTCTTTATTTTCTTTAAAATTCTGAGTTGGGTGTTTTTGTGCTCATTGGAGCGAGGAGGAGAAAGGCCTAATGGAACGGATGTCCTGGCGGGAACAGAAAGCTACATTTGAACTGCTCTCTGTTGTGGTCACAGTTCATTTCACATTAATGGTCTTCCTCATAATTGCCTGCATACTAGGGCTGTCCCGAATACCATTTTTCGGGCTCCGGATATTCGGTATTAATCAGCAGCGAATATTCGGATATTCGGCCCGCACGGGGGGGCGTAGTAATCAGCAGCGAACCGCTTCAACACGTGTATTTCGGTTTATTCACGGCATTCATTTTGTTATTCTACAGTATTGTTGTTTTATAGTTATTTGTTAATGTAAATAACCTAATTTGTGTTCTTTGAAATTGAAAAGGATATTGCATTGTGTTTGTTACTTTCGTTGCAGTTGTATATGTCTTAAAGGTAGGGTATGTAATTTTGGAGAAACCAGCTCGAGTGCGCTAGAATTTTGAAAGTACACAACCGGAAAAAATCTGCCCCTTCCTTCAGACTTCCTTATAGAGCCCCTCCTCCAACACACACGAACGCGCACATGACCAATGAGGGCACGAGATAAGTTTGTGCACAGATGGAAGGCTGACAGGCAGGTAGGCCATCCAGTTATTTTAGCAGGGCCGGCTAAAATGATTGGTCGTGCTTTTTACAGTACCACGGCTTCCACAGATGAAATATTTGTATGTATTTATTGTCAAAGCCTTTAATGTGTTCATTGCTATCGGGATGTTAAGAGCATTCCATGGAATATAACAAAAAGTGTTTCTGAAGTGAATTACCTACCCCACCTTTAAGTGTAATTTGGCTTGGCTTCCTATTTTTTCTGGACATGCTTTTATTTTGAAGGAGAGTTAGCGCTGTTGACAGGAAGTTGTTGTTGCTATGGAAACAACGTGACGGAGATTAACGCAGAAAAGTTATATCTACATATAAAGATGGAGAAAGTAAACGATACAGTTTATGGTTAAGTGTTAGCACCCCCCGAAGAGGCACAAGCTCTTACGTTGATATTGGAGATTTCAATAAATTCAATTAAAAAAAAAATGAAAATAAATAAATAATACGAATATCCGAATAACGAAATTGAAACCCGAATAGTACTCCAACGAACGAATATTCGGATATTCGGGTACAGCCCTACTGCATACACACATATTGTATGTTACTCACTTGTCTTTTTTGTTTTTTTCTCCTGATTATGCAGCTGGCAGTGGATGGTTTAATGGTGTCTAACACTACGGTGTCCAGACCGGAGACGCTCCAGGACTCTCAGAGGTCTGAGGCCGGCGGGTTGAGTGGGCAGCCTCTCAGAGACCTCTCTACCACCACAGTGAGAGAGATGTACCACCTCACCAAAGGTGCTTCCTTACACGCCTACATTTTCTGTATATATGTATTTTTACATTTTCTTAATCAACTCAGTATGACGAAAGTACACATAAAATACACTTATTTTACTCTTTTTAAATGTGTTTAGGTAAAGTACTAATCATTGGAATTGGTGGTGTGGCCAGTGGGCAGGATGCTATGGATAAGATCCGTGCCGGTGCGTCGCTGGTTCAGCTTTACACAGCTCTGACCTACCAGGGTCCGCCTGTAGTGACCAAGATAAAAAGGGAGTTGGCGCAACTTCTTAAGTGAGTAAATGGTATTTCTTTCATGAAGTCAGGGGAAATCTTTTAATTGTAGTTCAAGGTTTTTAGAGTGGTTCCTTAAACAATGAAATGGTTATTCTGGGGTATTAAAGCATTGGTCTTCTTATTAGAACATAGTATTAACATTTACAATCCCCACATGAGCTGCTGAAATCTGAGACTGCAGCTCTTTAAAGTGGACAGGGCCACACATACAAGCAATCAGACAATCTGACAGGTTTTAAACAAACCTCTAGAATCTCCAAACTTATTTTATACAATGAAAAGGAATGGTCATATTAGTACCAAAACGTTCCTGTTAGAAAAAGTCAATACACTTAAAAAAAAACGATTTCCTGGTTCAACTTTGAGCTACCGTAGATGTAGTTGTTGTACTTGCTCAACATTTCTGATTATTATGGATACTTCAAATAAATCACTTTTGGATTTGCCTCCATTACAAATGGTTAGAGAGTCATGAAATTAGAGAGTCATGAAATCACTACGGATTATCAAAGACCCCCATCACCCCAGCCACAAACTGTTCTTTCTGTTGCCGTCTGGCAGACGTTACCGCAGCATCCTGGCAAGGACAAGAAGATTCGGAGACAGTTTCTTCCCGCGGGCAGTGAGACTGTTAAAAAATTGAACTGTTGAAACAACTTCAAAACATGCATCTGCAACTCAGTATTATGTATCTAATACCTAATATATATATATCATTCCAATAACTTGTATATAGACTTGTACTGCACTATTCCACATCATCACTTTATTTTATAACTATTTTTCTTTTTGTATTGCTCTTGCTCTTATTGTTATTATGTTATTATGTTGCATTGTTGGAGAAGCCTGTGACATAAGATTTTCAACTACATAATTACTCTGTAGCTATGTCAGATTGACAATAAAGAACCTTGAACCTTGAACCTTGTCTAGCTACAAACTCTGTAACCATATTTCCCAATTTGACTTTATTTAGCCACATGTCTCAAGAACTCAGTAATTACTTTGGGTTTTCAAAACTGATGGGAAATTTGAGCCCAAGCTATGGAGAAAGACGACGATAGACCAATGTTGTTTAAAAATCACCAACGTTTCCTGAGTGGTACTTGAAATTAATTGCTTTTCTTTGCTATTATATTTCAATTTGCCATCTTTCAATTGTGGAAACATATCCATTTCATTCTCAAACCAATATATTCTCTTTTTTTAATTTTTTTTTTTTAAAGGGAACAGGGGTTCAGCAGTGTATCAGAGGCGGTTGGAGCAGATCACAGGGGAGCAGATGGGTCAGCTAATAAGCAGAGCGTGCGGAAAGAGATGGTAAATGCTAACACACTAAATGCTACACAGCACCTGTAGCTGCCATCTCGTCCAATCAGGCAACATGATCCTCAACTTTTCCTGAACTTTGCTGAATGCTGAGGATTGTCTGTCCGTCCGAGTGATTTCAAGGATGAGATATGGTCTGAACTGGGAGCTGTTGAAACCATATTTTAGGTACTTGTGGCGAGAAAATTCTGAATGCACCAAATCTCACCTTTACTTGAACATATAAACAATGTTGTAATTAAAATCTTTTTTGTTTTATAAAGAAGCTGAGGTTTGTTTGTGTTAGTAACACGTTCTTCATTTGTTACAGTGTAACACATTGTCCATCTTATTGTCCATCTATAAGAGCCTTGCTAAACAGATAAATCACAACATTTTCCAGTTGTTTGATTCAGGTGGTTTGAACCATCTTTTCATACGGCAGTGACGCTGCTGTTATGACGGTTTCATTGTGGGAAGAACTGCAGAAATCCTTTATTGAGAGAAATGTTATTTGCCTGATAAGAGTTTCATCAACTGACCCTTCCTCCTTATCTGCAGCAGGAGCAAACAGTCCATTGACAATGATTCAAAAGATGTTTAGCCTTGGAATACAAAGAGGAATTTGCCATGTTCCTGACAGCAGTATAGAAATACCTTCAAGTCTTTTAAGGCTGATTTCTCTCTCCCCTCTGCTGTTATTTGATGTGGACAATGTGGAGTCACTGCCTCTCAGAAGTAGCGGATGCTGCTTCTTTTATTGGTATTCTTGGGTTTTCCTCCCTTATCGCCAAAGATAGCCTTTCCCAGCACCACCAGATAATCCCAGAAGAAACGTTAGATATAGCCAGTGATGCCGGCAGTACTCTGAGGGTCAGCTGTGAGCTGCCAGGCACATCCCTCTTCCCCCCCTGAGACCAAATCCAGACAGTCTCATATCCAGTATGTGGTGTCACACGGGGAAGAAAGGTAAGGCCTGAGACTTTTTCCATCAGTCCAAATCCCAGACGTTCAGTTTGAAATGATATGAAACAAATAAACAACAGTACACTGTCACATTTTAGGAAATTGAAACCATCAAATGTGTCCCATCAAATGTGTCTAGGCACACTGTTGGTGCTCGTTGCTCCACTGAAGGCAAAGGTTTTTGTCCACCACTTTATTTCAAACTGAATATCTCAACTTATGATCAATTGCCCTGGAATGTGTTACAGACATGTATTGAAGTTCGTTTTTTTTTAAAATCACATTCCTTATGTTTTGAAATGGAAATCTGAAATACCTAGTTGAGTTATGTAAACACTGAATCTTCTTCTTAGTCAGTAGGTGTAGGTCTTGGGTAGTATACAGCGTTTTCATTGCTTGAACTTCAGCAGACCTATTCATATATATATATAAATAAAACATGAGTACCAAAGCATTTATTTTGAAAGAAGGGAGGAAGCAACCCCTGAAAAAGTCACATAACAGCCTGGGATTTCTTCAGACATTGCATAGAGCGAAATACAAAACTGTTGTGGAGTTTAGTCAAAGCCAGTCTGGCACCGTTTCCTCTGTGAATCGTGTCGATGGCAGCATTTTCCTATGGAGGCCGCTCGTAGAGTTGACACAGGGAATTAGTACGATGTAGGAAAATTCTCGAGAGGAAACCTGCATTAGACTGCCAAGTGCTTTAGATGGATAAACTCCTTTAAGCCACGACCGTGACAGCAAACATTGGTTGATCTCAACATTGGAATAACTTCAGAGCAAGAGCACGAAAGCATGAAAATGGCCGTTCACAGATGAGCCCTAGTTTGTCTGAGCCAAAACAAATCTGTGAAGAAGGCAGAAAAACTGCCTAATCTATAAGTGCCCAAGGGATACAGATGTATCGGCTTATACTCTAAAGAAGATTTCCTTTCAAAGGCCCTTTATGTGGTTTACGTGTTAGGATTGAGAATGCTGACATCTGTTACTTTGCATTCAATCTAAACCTGGATATGGGAATGCGAGGGAATTGTGGCACTTTTTAGTGGTTCAGAGAAATAAATCTAGTGAGAAGCAATTCTTAAATATCCTAAAGTAACCACATAATCTTTTGTGAATCTTATTTGTTATACAAATAGCTATGACATGAATTAAATAATAATAAAACTATTGCCACCATTAAGAAATGTAAACATCCGGAGTTCAGCTTGCTGAAGATTGTGACTGTACTGTACATCGTCTGAAAGCATCATTATCTGCTTTAGGCGGAAGGTGCCCACATGCAACAGCTGATAGCATATCTGCACTGCGTCATCTTCGCAGAGCAAAGGATGAACATGAAGCTCTATTATCCTGCTCCTCATCATTTGTGGCACACCATTTTCCACAGCACATACTATAGAAATGTATTATCAAATGGCTTATGGCAAATAGTCCAGGTGAACTATTATGAAACTGTAATGGTTTTGAATTCAAGAAGGTCCTTTACAAATTGTGGAAAATAGCAGGTGAAAAATAGCAAGGACAGTAGGTGGATTGTGATTATGTAACTCTGAGAGCTGCAGGTGCGTTTCAAGGTATTTGTTTTCCAATATGGAGGAGGCAGCTGCAAGGCTGTGAGGTGGGAGCAAACAAATAGGCCTTATTGTTCCATTCCACTTCCAACCTGCAAGTGATTTACCTGGAAGTGATTTAGATGATTGTATTTAAGACGTGCTTCAGGAAAAGCATAACAAACAAAGAAACAAAAAGGATAAAACTGGTTTGAGAATTAGATAATAATTGTTTTAATATTAATTTTCAATCACATGTTGGTAACTTTTTAGTTTATTAAATTACATGACTTTTTTTACTAATGCCCCCCAGTGTTAAGGTCACTGTGCAAGCCTGGTTTAATTTCATATCTACATAAATGTGGTGGAGGCACTAAAATATTTAGAGGAGACCATTTGACCGCTTACTGCTATGTGGTTAGACAATCCTGTCCAAACCAACCCACATCAGTACCTCCACAGTCTAAACCAGCGTTACCACACCCTCTTTGTGTTGCATCCCTTCACATAATGCAAATCAGAGCTGAGTGGCACCTAGTGACTAGTTTCCACTTTGACCACAGTGCAGCCATGTTGCAATCAATGGACACAGTCTTTCTTTTTCTTTTCTTTACTAGAGTAAGGTTCAGTCTGAAGGTCTTGGGGGTGCACAATGTACAGAACAGTACCTTTGTGTCTGTACAGTGTATAATAGAAGATAAAAGCCTAGAAGAAAATAAGACCAATTTTGTGTCATATCTGAACTTTTGGTATACGAAAACAAAACACCATTTTGATACATTTTGAGAACATGCCTGCGGTGCAGTGTGACTGAAGTTCTCAGCGAAGTGTCCTTCTACAGATTGCTGTTTCCCAAGCTGGAGAAGCCTCTAGCTACAGGAAGTCACAGGTGTGATGTAGGGAGACAGAGACACAAATGACACACACTGCTGCCCAAACAGATTACCTCTGACAAGAGTGTGTACTTGCATACAAAACACACAGAAGGCAGGGGGTGGACACAGAAAGGGAAGGTAGAAGTAAATAAAGGAAGGATGTAAGGAAGGACAAAGGAAAGGGTGGAAAGAAGACGTATAGAGGGGGTTAAAGAAAGCAAGAAGAAAGAAAGGATCAAATAAAGTGCAGGGGAAGAAGGAAACAAAAGTCCAAAAACGGTCCCACTTCAGATGTTTCCCAAACATAATTTTTTAACCTCTTCTATATTTGGCACTGTCGTCAGGTTTTACATAACTCCCACTTCCGACAAAGCCAACACCCACTCGCTGTCAGCCGTGCAGTACAGCCATATGGGACTTCAGCTCTCGTTAGACCAAGAAAGCGTGAAACAAGTCGGCTGAAAGGCATCAGAGACAACCATCATGCAACCCTGGAAGTGGTTGCTCTAGTACCCTTTGAATATGTTAACCATACACTTGAGACACAGTCTTAGGAGCTCTATGACAAAAATATAACGAACTCCGTCAATACTTATCGAGGCTTTACACGGAATCTGATAGACAGAAAAACGGCTTATTAAAAAAGGCAAAAGGAGATGTTTTTCAAATGTGTATAATATTGTAAAGTGTTTAAAAGTAATGTGTGCGTTATCAATTTGGATGTGACAGACTGATACATTTTTAAAGCCAACAACTATTTTATGTTTGCCCTTTTGCTGGAAACTTGATTATTTAAAGAACAAAGGCGGTTGTGCTATTATACCACCTTCCACAAACACAGTGAAAACCTGTGACCCATTTGAAAGAGCAACCTCCCTCACTGAGGGCAGGCTGCAGCGACTGGGCCTCTCAGGTTAGGTGCAACTGTGAATTTATTTAAGAAGACTCTGTCGATGTACAGGTGGGAGGATTTATAGAGGGCAGCGTCACCATGGACTCCAGGTTCACTCAACACGAGTGCAGCAGCTTCGTCTGACGCTTGTACTGCTACACCACGCTATGAATAATCTAGCTGACATACCCTTGAGGTGTGGGACGAAGCAAGACAGACAGACAGCCAGTGATGAGGCTGCCGTTTAAGAGAAGCTTCTGCTCGTGTTTTTAAGATAAAAACGTTCTTGTATGATAATGAGAGGAAGTCTGCATCAGCAAACAATCACAAACTTCATCCAACTCATGCATTCTCAATTTTCTCTGCACAGCACTTAAGCAGTACAACTGATTGACATATATATTATTCATAAGGAAGAAATATTGGGAATGCCGGCAAACAGAGAAGCAGTTCATTTGCGAAGTTAGAAAGTAAAGGACAGTTTAGAGGCAGCAGGCAACCAGTCCATATCTTCTTGTGTTGCAGAGATAACCTCACTAAAGCAAATCACACCATACCTGGGCAAAGATTTAAACTATCATCTTTTTGTAATGGACATATATTGGTCAGGGACAGTGATATAGCGGTTATTCATGTGTTTTGCCATAGTTAAATATTGGTGGCTTTATACCCTCGACTGTATACATACAGTTTGATACAGATTATCCGTTTACTCCGTGTTAGTGCACAGAACCATTAGATCATATTCAACAGCGGTGGGCTTCTGTGAATGTACAGATAGTTTGTTTGTATCTCTTTGTTTGAAAATATCCTGCTGTTTGATTGGTTTCCTTACTGCACTTTTATTTAATTCCCTGAATTGAACTTCAGAAATGCTAAACTGAAATATCTCTGCACTTTAGATACTTTCTCGTGCGCACAAGATACAAACCGGTTATCCCGATTTTTTTTTTTTCTTTCCATGTCCCTTTAGGGGCTCCGTAGTTTTCAGTCAATATAATAAGAAAA